TGGGGGATTGTTGGGTTTTAAAGGTGTGAACAGGAAATGAAGGGTTGTGACACTCCTAAGGGTTGTCACTTTGCCAGAGGGTTGTGACATTTATGAAAGGTCGTGTCCTTTCTATAAAGGGTTGTGATCGTTTGAAAGGTTGTGCCTTTTTCAAATTGTTGTGACCTTTCTGGAAGGTTGTATTCTTTCCTAAGAGTTATGACCTTTACTCTTTGTTGGCTATAAATAGAGAGGTTGTCTCTCATTTTTCAGTATTGAATTCTTCCCTTCTTTTGCATACATTTCTTACAAAATAAAATAGATCGATCGTGTCTGTGAGTGTGATTCGTTGCTATCATTTTGAGTTCGTTAAAATTATTGAAGTTTGAGGTACCGCTATTTTTTTAATGGTTAATTAGTTTTATCTTGGGAGGAATTAATGTGCAACCTCGGGTACTTGATGGGATTAACTTTCTTAAGAATACACAGTGAATTCTATGGACTCAAATAATTCTTTGTATTTTTCTTTCATCTTTTATTATTTTTCTAGTTTATTAATTTGAATAGATGAGATAATACTTCTTTGCTTTTTGTAAATAAGAAGTCAAATCAATTCATGTGTACCTCACAAATATAAAATTTCTATCACTCCCCCAATATCTTTTGCTAAACCTCTTGAGGGTGGCTATAATAAAAAGATTTTTATATACTCCATCCCTCTCAATCTCTAATTTTGTGTGACACTATTTGACTTGACACAATATTTAAGAGAAAATTAAATATTTTTTAAAACTTGTGGTCACATTTCTTAGATAATTCATATTTGTATAGTTATAAATCATTTCATTAAGAGTAAATTAGATATTTTAAAATTGAATTATTACTAAGTATAATCCGATCATATATATTTTTATAGAGAAAAATTAAAAAGAAAAGAATATTACGTTAAATAAAACACAACGAATATTATTTTTTCTCTAACTCAGAAAGCAACTTTTTAAAGGGGTAAAGAATATCACTAACACAAACCTCATTTCAAATTAAGGAATCATATTGTTGACAAATCAAGAAGTACATTATTAATTATATTTTTAACTCTTTTTTTAAATCATTTTTCTGTTACAATTGTCCATTTGTGTTATGTCTTTTTCTCCAAAATATTATAGCCGTTACTTCTTGCCCCCTCAATATACTCATTTCCCAACAAATGACTATTATTCACTAAAGTTATGTTACTTTCCAGATTTTTCTTTTTAGTAACACTTTTTTTTAAAAAGTCCTCTACTTCGGCCGCGTCTTCAAAATTCTTATTTCCTCGTGGATCGTTTCCGATTCTCTCCGTTCAATTTTATTTAATTATTATATAAAAAATAAATTTTTATTTATTTATTTATTTAATTTTTAAAAAAATTAAAGACAATTTATTATTAGAAAATGAAATAAGGAAAAATCTAGAAGAGGAATATTATTTTAATTTCATCTTTTTTGTTTAGATGTATAAAGCTATAAATAGTAATAATATATGAATTATGCGTTTTATTGATTTATTGGAAAGAAATAGAAAGCTTACAGATGGAGAGGATAAGGCTATGATAATGAAATACAGAAGAAAGATAAAGGTGTGTGACTCAAATTAAAATGGGAGTGAATCATTCTTTTTTTTTTTTAGTTATTCTTATAATTAAAATTATCAATTCACGCCTCAAATATACATGTAAAAATCATTCATTTTCTTCACTTTATTCTAGGATTGCGTATCAGTTGATTCACTTTTAAAAGTATATTAATTTAATTTATTGATTATTAATTTGTAAAAATGTTAATTATAGAATCGTTAAAATAATGACTTATTGATTTTATCTTATCAATTATCGATTATTATCAGTCAAATTATCAATAGGCGTTGAGAATTGATACACAAATAATTAATGAGAATATCTTAAAAACAAGGTGACAAATTGAATGAATTATGTACATGAGTACACAAGTTGCATCTTGCTAAAAATCAAACACCTTTACATTATAGAATAATCAAAAAATTTTAATAGTCAGAAATAAAAGTAGGAAACTAAACTCTAAGTCAAAGACTTTATATATAAAATGATATAATACAATTATTTAATTTACTATCGGATTATCGGTTAATCCATTAAAAGAAAACCTCATACCATTAAGAATTGATAATCCAATAACAAAAAAAAATCAAAATTATTATTTAAACCGTTAAACCAATAACACATTACGAATAAATAAATAGAAAAAATTGATTCAGATTATCGATTTCAATTCAACTTTGTATCGCTATCTTTTCTAATTTTTTTCATTCATACCAGTGAAATTTAATTTTGCAGACAAATATTTTTTTTAAAAATAGATTATATTATTTAATTTTGTACGGTAAATCAAACAACGTATAAAAATTAGTTTCAAACATAATTGATATTAACATTATTAATATACTTTATCTATCACTATTACTCTTTTTCTTTTAATTACTAAAGGAATAATGCACAAGAATCCTCTCAATCTATGCTCGAAATCTTAGATATACACTTATATTATACTAAGGTTTTATTATTCCTAAACTTATTTTATTAATAATTTTCTACCCTTTTCGACCTACGTAGCACTATCTTGTGAGTCTAATGTTGATTGATTTTTTTCTTTTCAAATTAGTGGCACATGGACTGAAAAAAGAGTAGAAAATTACTTATAAAATAAGTCGAAGGTAATAACACCTTATTATAGTATAAGTATCTCTGAAATTTTAAATGTAGATTGAGGAACTTATATATTTTCTTTTACTGAATTAAAAAAAATGTCAATATTTGAACTTTTTCTAAAATTTATCTTCTTATATATATATATATATATACAATTGGCTTAGTAAAAGTTAATAATATTTTCATTCATTATTATAAGCCCCCTAATCAAAACGACTCTTTCGAGAAGGATAAAGACAATACTAGTATGGAAACAAATCTAGGAAGAAACTATAGAAACTACTATGTTTTCAATCTTCTACGCGTTGGCCGTTTAAGTTCAAACTAGACTAGATATAGCAATACGTAACACGAAATTAATATATATATTTTTTATTTTAATTTATATAACATAAATAAAATTTAAAAAATTATTTTAAATTTTATCTAGTTTATAATAGTTTAACTGTTAATAATATTTTTAATAGTTTAGCTGTTAATATATTTTTAATGTAATTTTTGAATAATACATATTACTCCTTTCATCTCAATATTATTACACGTGTATAATTTTAAAAATCAATTAAATTATTTATGCCTTTCAAATATTTCATATTGTCAGTGATTACAATATATGTTACCTTTTTTTGTCCTAATTTGATTTTAATATCTTTTAAATATTATAATCCGTTAATCCTCATAATTTACCATATCTTTTAGGTCATATTGAACTATACTTTCCTTCGTCCAATAATAGATTTTCGATAATATTTGTTTATATTATAAAATTTATAGATAATTTTATAAATTAGTTTGTAATTTATTTTTATTATTAATTATAATTATTTTTATTTTATATTTTTTAGATATTATATTTATTATATTTAAAAAATGGATAATGTATAAAGTGACTTCTCAATCTATGTCCGAAATCTCAAAGACACACTTATACTATATTAAGGTCCTAATACACCTGAACTTATTTTATTAATATTTTTCTATCTTTTTTCAGCCTACGTGGTATTATCTTATGGGCTCAACGTTAATTGACTTTTTTTTAAAAAAAATTAGTGCCACATAGGCTGAAAAGGAATAGAAAATTACTTATAAAATAAGTCTAGGAATAATAGGCTTTAGGATATAAGTGTGTCTCTAAGATTTCGGACATAGATTGATGAATTACTTGTAAATTTTTCCTTTAAAGAATTGTATAATAAAATTATCTTTATATTTATAATTTCTTAAAAAATAATTCAAATCAATAGTAGAAAATTATTATTAAATAAATAAAATATAAAACATACAAAAATAATTAAACAAAAAATATATTTCATAAATACACTTGGGTAGAAACAGCCACAAAGACGAAGACTACTTACATCTACCATATTTTTACGCATTTTTTAACATATAAAACTCATAAAATAAATAATGAAAGCAAAAAACATATATAACAAAAATAATATATGTATATAAATCTCATAAATATCCTCAGCTAACAACATTAAAAAAAAGACCTGCTTCCAACATCTTCTATACAGCAAGTAGCAGTAATTTATATACTTCTTCTGTTTTAAAAACAAAAATCTATTTTAAAAAAAAAATTATTGATAAAATTTTAACTTTAGTTTTTCAGACCCAATGTTTAAAATCATAAAATTAAAGGATAATTTTATACATTTGACATAAGTTTAATTTAGAACTATAATATTCAAAGTGTTCTTTATTTACTAAAATTGCATGTCAAATCAAACCAAATCATTTTTGTGAAACGGAGAGAGTATAATTTATTAAGAATAATTTCCCTAGATAGTCACCTATGTTTGAAAAGTATCTACGAATATCACTTATGCTTGTTTTAGGATTACAATATCATTTAATTTTACCTATTTTCCTCAAAATACACTACCCTAGCAGAAGAGAAATAATGTATTTTTTTGTGTCAACTATATTTTGATGAAAATAGACAAAGTTGGATGCTATTATAGTCGTAAAACAAACACAGGTGATATTCCTAAATAATTTTCTGTGACTAACTAAGGAAATTACTCAATTTATTAAATACTAGCAATGATTTATAGTTTAATAGTCGAAATATTATATTTTTTTTTTAAGGAAAACCTTTCTAGATTAAGAATTCGAGTTGTAAACCTACTTCGATAATAAATAAAATATTTATTTACAATAAATTGTATATAAATTATTGACATTTATTTGTTTGAAATTTGAAATCTTCCTACTACACGGAAAAGGAAATCTGCCTAATTTTTTTTATTTAAATATAGTAGAGGGATTTTTTTCAGATTTATCAACCATTCATTTTGAACAAACTTTTACTAACAATAAACCCTATATATAATTCTTTTAAAAACTCAATATTTCACTTTCTTCTCTTTAAAAAAATTAATTACATAAAAATATCCATTTTGTTTATCAACTGTATTTCAAGCCCCCACGTTTTCCCTGTTCTTATTGAGTCAAAATTCATGTCATTTTTTTGGGCAGTTTTGGATTCAACCCACGTTCTTGATTTTTCTCTAATTCACCTTTTTCTTGATTTTTAATCATACCCTTTTGTTTCTTTTGTATTGAAATTGAAGAAAAATCAATTCTTTGTTCAAATTACAGTTCAAGATTTTGGTTTGGGAAAATGTATTGTGTTGAGAAAATGTTTAAAGTTGGGATTTTTTTGTTATTTTTAAGTGGTGTTGATGGATTAGGAGTGAATTGGGGAACTATGGCAACTCATAAATTGCCACCAAAAACAGTGGTACAGATGTTAAAGGATAATGGTATTGGGAAAGTAAAGTTGTTTGATGCAGATCAATCTACTATGAGTGCTCTTGCTGGTAGTGATCTTGAAGTTATGGTTGCTATTCCAAATGATCAGCTTTCTGCTATGAATGATTATGATAGAGCTAAAGATTGGGTTAAACGTAATGTCACGCGTTATAACTTCAAAGGAGGTGTCAATATTAAGTAAGATTAAGCTGTAAGCTTTATTTTTTGCCTTTTTATTAATGTCTATTTGTTATTAAACTTGATTTGCTTTATGGCTTATATTGAATATTGATGATCTGTTGTTGTACTTTTTCTGCTTGTAAATGAAAAGCTATGCTTCAAATTCATTCTTGTCAGTTATGAATATGTATTAAAGGAGATTAGGATGAATAAATGGTTCTGCAGATAAACTTATGGTAAAAGGGAGAAAGAAAATGAATTGTTTCTTCCCTTCAATGCGATGTTTTCGTATGTGGGTGAGTCTTGACATAGCCATAGAGTTGGTCCTTTTGGTGTTCATAGGTCAGGGGTTCGTGGTGTAGAAACAACCTCTTTGTAGAAATGGAAGAGGAAGGTTGCATAGGAATCCCCCCATATCCACATTAGCTTTGGAATGTTTCTTTTGCCGGTTAAGTCCTTTAAGTGCATATAGAAAGGTTAAGAGCTTGAGTGATTGGTAGTATATGTTTCTGTAGCATTCATTTTCTATCTTTTTGGCTGCGAACGAACCAGCCTTTGATATATGCAAAGGTTAAGAGCTTGAGTGATTGCTAGTATATGTTTCTGTTAGTATCTATTTTCATTTTTCTTTTCAGCTGAAACAACTAGTCTTCATGAGTTATATTGGACATGGTCTAGTGTGAGACTCTACAAATATTCATCTTTAAGCAGATGATTTTTTGTTTTGAAAGAATAGTGCAGCTGCTCCGGTTCATCTTTATTGAAGTGCAGTAATATGATTATTCTCTTCTGTCAATCATCTTTTTGCCTGTTTTCTGCCTACTCTTTGTGTTTTCACTTTCTTTCGAGCTGAAAAGTCGAGTCGATTCTTTTTTTTTTATGAGCTGAATTATCCAGTTTGACTTTTTAAATTGAGCTAGTATTTAGTTGGAAGTTATGTTTACCTTCTGTTTAAAGCCCTGCTGTAGGTAAGATCCAATATCTGGAAAGGTCCATTATTCAAAGTTTTGAGCCGTGTGCTGTTGGCCATTGGGAACTTCTCGATTTATAAGAGAAAAAAAAAAGAAAGAACAAGTGATGGTTCTTGATCCCTTTACAAATTGAAGGAAAATTACATTTAAGAAATCCTATCGCTTGAAGATTTATGTCTTTGAAATGCTATTTTGATTCATATTATCATTTTAGTATGATTAAACAATTACTTGACTTTAAAAGGTTTGCACTTGATGATGCAGAAGGTATAAAAGTTTTGTTATTTGTAAGAACTCTTCATACTGTTCTTAATTTCTTTGCCTGAATCATTTTTCATCTGTACCGGATCTTTGATTTTGTCATTTGGAGTAATTAAATCTGAAACCTTTGATGCTATAAATGGTTGAAAATTAAAGATATTGTCGATTGCAGTTCATAGATGAATTTGTGCTTTTAGTGTGTAAAAACATTTCATTTCTACTATTTTACTGCACACCAACTTACTCTTGGCCTTCTCATCAATAAAATTTCACTTGCGGTTAAAAAGTGTGTGGAGCATTTCAAACTTCATATAGCTGATTACCGTATAAATTTCTGAGTCTTAATCTCTCTGCAGATATGTTGCAGTTGGCAATGAGCCTTTCCTGACATCCTACAACAATTCCTTTCTTAACACGACTTTCCCAGCACTTCAAAACATTCAAAATGCTCTAAATGAGGCAGGACTTGGGAGCTCTATAAAAGCAACTGTGCCTCTAAATGCTGATGTTTATTTCTCTCCAGACGACAATCCCGTACCATCTGCTGGGAGATTTCGTGAAGACATTAATGATCTAATGACCCAGATTGTTCAATTCATGAGCCAGAACAACGCACCTTTCACAGTAAACATTTACCCATTTCTAAGTCTTTATGCGAATGAGCATTTCCCTGTTAATTTTGCCTTCTTTGATGGAGCCAGTAACCCAATTGTTGATAATGGATTATCATACACCAATGTATTTGATGCCAACTTTGACACCCTGGTTTCAGCGTTGAAAGCAGCAGGTGTTGGCAATTTGCCCATTCTAGTTGGGGAAGTTGGATGGCCTACAGATGGTGACAAAAATGCCAATGTCAATCTTGCTTATCGTTTCTATAAAGGACTGTTACCCAGGCTTGCAGCCAACGTTGGAACACCTCTACGGCCTGGATTTATCGAAGTTTACTTGTTTGGGCTTATCGATGAGGATGGTAAAAGTATTGCTCCAGGTAACTTTGAGCGCCACTGGGGAATCTTCCGGTATGATGGGCAGCCAAAGTTTGCCATGGACCTTACCGGTCAGGGACAAGATAAGTTTCTTGTTGCTGCACAAAATGTGGAATATTTATCCAAGAAGTGGTGCATGTTCAATCCGAACGCCAAGGACTTGAGCAAACTTGCAGATAACATCAACTATGCATGCACATTCTCAGATTGCACAGCATTAGGATATGGTTCTTCGTGCAACGGATTGGATGCCAATGGTAATGCATCATATGCATTCAACATGTATTACCAGGCTCAGAACCAAGAAGAATTCAGTTGTAATTTTCAGGGTCTGGCAACGTTGACAGATCAGAACATATCTCAAGCAAACTGTAACTTCACCATCCAGATAGCTACGTCTTTCTCTCCGAAATTATTGCCTATGTTTATCACATTTTTAACTGCCTTCACATTCATTTTACTATAGATATCTTTATAGAGTTTATTTATTTGTAATAGTAGTTGTATTTTCAAGATTTCTGGCTACTTCAATCAACTGATGCTTGATAAATTGATGAGGCTGTTCTTTCAATTATCAGTTTTGCACTTAGTGATTTGAGCATTTTTTTTTAACTTATTCTTTGGGAAGTAGTAAAGGATGGTACAGAAAGAGTACTTTGAGCTTTCAAAATATGTGGCGTAATCCATAAACATACCTTTTAACTTAATTGACAGCTACGACTTCGAACTTTGAATGTGTGGAAGTAAGCATTTAAATTTGTATAAAATTCAAAAAATACACATATTTATCTTATGTGGTGTCCTACGTGACAATTTTGGGTCCTATGTGACATTCTACATGAAGTATGTCACGTAGGACACACGAGTCTATTTGTTCAATTTTATACAAGTTTAAATATTTATTTATACACATGTAAAATTTTGAAAAATATCGATATAATTGAAATCAACTTGAGGATATATTTATGTATTATGTCATAATACTAAGATCACTTGTCCTATTTTATCTACTCATTAAAAGACGATAGTGTCGAAGGGTGGCATATGTACTTTTATGTTAAAATGGTATTGAACAATCATTGTGGCTAATAATTTATTAGCCCTACCAACAATGTGGTAATAGAGTGATAAATATTTTTTTTATCATTAATCAAGAGGTTTTGGATTTGAGCCCTCTTGAATATGGAATTGTCTTTGTTAGGAAGCGATTTACCCCTCAATGTTGGACTTTCTAGAGCAAATTCATATTAATGAGACTGCAACGTAGATACCAAATATCGGATGAAAAACTATTTTTTTTTTATCTTACCCCTGATATCATCTACCAAAAAAGTTCAGGTTTCTTTATCTTATAAGGAAAAAGAAGAAGAGGGATGTTGTGTATATGTGAGTCGAACGAGTACTAAATAGTTTGAATATTATTTCATACGAACTTCTGATTAACTATTTAGTAAGTTTCAATGTTATAATTATAAATTAACTAAAAATAAAAGAAAACAAATTATGAACTCTAACCAGATAATAACATATTCTTATGTTATCAATGAAATAAAATTGATCTAGGATAATAGGTTATTGAACAATTTTCTTTTCAATGATTCTATTTTTTTTATTTATCTAATTTAATAAATAGTCAGACACGACTATTTAGGAATAATTGTATAGAATAACAAACTAATAATATAAAATAAATATAATAGCTATTCTTTGATTTATTTTTGTTTCATAGCAAACTGTTTACCAGTCCCTCTCTTCCTTATATTCTCGCTTGCCACTCTTTCTCTCTCGCTCGCTTATTCCTGTCGCTCGCCTCTCTCGCTTTATACAATAGAATTGTATAAATTGTGTTTCTAATTGTATAAAGCAAGAGAAAATTGTATAAACGCATCTAAATACAAATATTTTCGTCCTATACACTTATAATTATATAGTATAAATATATCCGTGCCCAAGTCTCTTTTGTCTTTCTCGTTTTATACAAATTCAAATTGTATATAGTTTCTCTCTTTCTCGTTTTACACAATTCGATTCAATTGTATATTTCCTGCAGAAGTCTCTTTTTGCCTCTCTCTTTCTCGTTTTATACAAATTCAAATTGTATATAATTTGTCTCTTTCTATTTTTATACAATTCAATTCTGCCTTTCTCGCTTTCTCGTTTTATACAATTCAAATTGTATATAATTTCTCTCTTTCTCGTTTTATACAATTCGCTTCAATTGTATATGTATAGCAAATTATACATATATAAGTTTGCTATGGAGTGCAATTATGCAAACCTTGTTATAACTTACAAATATGAATTTTATGTTTGCTATATGTGAAAGTTGTCTTCTATTTTGGGTGATCTTTAAATTTGGGATAAGTATAGGGCTGACAAGGGGACGGGGACTGGGGGACGGGACCGGAAGGGGGACGAGGAAGGGGGATTTGGACTAGGACCGGGATTGGGGGGACGGAAATAGGTCCCACCCCATCCCACTATATATACGGGATGAGATGGGATTTATGGGACGTGACAGAAGATTTTTTTAATTTTTAAATACTTATTTATTTGTAATGAAATTATATATTTTTAACTATAAATTTTGAATTTAACTTTTAACTTTCAAATTTCAAATTAAATTTTCAAATTTCAAGTTTCAATTTTCAAATTTCAAGCTTCATGTTTCAAATTTCAAGCTTCTTGTTTCAAATGTCAAGTTTCAACTTTAAAGTTTTAAATTTCAAATTTGAGAAGTTTAAAGTAATGTAAAAAATTTCAAATGCCAAGTTACAAGTTTTAAATTAAGTATTTTAAAGTTACTTTAGTACTTTAGTATATATTTAGTTGTATATATTAAAATTAAAATGCAAGACAATAATTGTATAAAAAAACTTTAATAAAAGTTAAAACCTTCAAATTTATTGAATAGAACTTAGAAGTTACAATTAACAAATATTAGTGGAGTAACTAATCTACGAGCCACCTTTTAGGAAGAGTTCTGTTTTAATAAGTTCTCATATGTAAAACTAATATTTGTTCAGATATTAGATGAGTAACTAATTTTCACAGTCACCTTCTAGGAAGAGTTCTGTTTTTATTAGTTCTCGTGTGTAATATAAAATTATCTGTTTTCTTCATCAAATCGATGGTGATATCCTTCGGTGTTGGCAAAATTGCTCGAAACTCTTGTGACTCTAATTCATCATCACTGCATTCAACTTGCGTTTTGATCCAACTTGCTTGTTCTTTACTCAACTTTGGCAAATTATTATTTCTCCTATCGGCATTGACCTAGTCTCTAGATAAAACTATTGTTTCCAAACTGTCTTCCGCCAATGAATGTCTATGATTACCATTTTGAAACATTGCCGCACTGAAAGCAGCCTCCGATGCAACTGATGAAGCTTGAATAGCTAGAACATCACGAACCATTTTGCTCAAAGTTGGAAAGTCAACGCTTCGCCTACTCCACAATCCTAATAAATCTTCATTGCCATCTTTGATTTCCAATGCTTCTAAAGATTGATTAATATATTCTTCAAAATCATCACGGTTAGTAGAATTAAGACCAAGAAAACCTCGCATATAAGTTGAAATTCCAACTTCAAAATCAACCTCTTGATTAGAAGTTTGACCAACTTCTCCTTCAATATTTTCACTAGTTCTATATTTTTCATACAAATTTTTTTCTTCTACTTTTATTCTAGACTTGCACGTTTCACAATTTGAATTTTCTTCAGGTAAAATTTCTAAAGTTTCATAAAAAGTGTCAACAAGGCCAAACACACCTCGTAATTTATAATAAGGATGAAGTAATATAGCAGTTAAATAAATTTGAGGAATAGAGAAAAAATATTTTTAGAATTTTTCAATCATACCTTCACTTGCAACTTTAAATTTATCTATTTTTTTAAAAAAAATTTTAAAAAATTGAATTGTAAGAGCATAAATATTTATTAATACTAATGAAATAGCAAGATAATAAATTCCAGAAAACATGGTTGTTGCATCATAAAAAAGTCTTAAAAATTGTAATAGTTCTTTAGTTTCTTCCCAATCTTCATCACAAATTCTATCTAATGGGTCAGCATTATGAGCATTAAAACCATTTGTATGGGTCTTCTATATTTATAAGCAACTGAAAGCATTTCGTAAAGAGAATTTCACCTTGTTTTAATATGTTTTGAAATTTTTCTAGGTGACAATTCACATAGTAAACAACGCTCATTAAATTTCCTAATTCTAGAAGCATTGTTAAAAATCCAGGCAATGACATAGTCAATTTCATGCAACCACAATCGAATAATGAAATACCATCATGTACAACTAGATTTAATATATGTGCAACACATCTAACATGAAAAACAATATTATTTGGACATAATCTAACTTTAACATTTTAGCAGCATTTGTATTATTAGATGCATCATCTAATGCGACAGACATTACTTTATCTATAACCATATAATAATCTAAAACACTTAAATTTTTTGAAGCTAAATATGCACCAAATTTTTCTCTACACATAGTGTATAACTTAATATTCGTTTTTGCAAATTTCAATTATGATCAATCCAATGAGCTGTAACAGTTAAATAATCATTTCCATTAACACTACGACCCATGTCCGCAGTTATAAACACTCTACTATCTAATATGCTAAATATACAACAAAGAAATTTACAATGTTTACCTTGAAATTCAAAAACATCATGTTTAACAATATTTCTTGAAAAACCTCTATAATTCGGATTATAAGTTTGTTGAATATATTCAAAACCAGGATGTGAAGGAAAACTATAAGGCAAACCACAAACAGAAATCATTTTAGCTAAATTTTTGCGATCTAATTCGTTATTATATTTACGTTGTGTTATTCGACCACCGGAGTTAGAAGGATCTAATGTTCCTTGAACCATGTTAGAAGCCCCTACCGATGCATTTACTGGTAATATCAAATTCATCAATTGAAATTCCTTTTTATCTATTGACTAATGCTTTAGCTTCTTTATATTAAATTGACACACAAGATAACAAATGTCTATTTAATCCCCGCGTCCCACCTTGCCCCCCACCTTGTTTATGTTTAAAAGGTTGCTTACACTTATTACAAATAACCATACTTTCTTAATCGAAAGTCATAAATTGCCAAACAACAGAAGTTTTAGGGCGTTGATACTTCACCTTCTCCCTTTTGGGAGATATAAGGGGTGGCGTTCACAATTTTGCTCCGTTGAATTTATAGTGTCATTTGAAACTTCTGTCACCGGACTAGTAGGTATATCTTCTAAATCCTCTTCTCCCAAATCAACTTCTACTTCTTCACCTGAATTTTCATCAACATTAGGATTAATATTACCATAACGTCGTTCTAAACTTTTAAGATCGAGTTGAACATTTGAATTAATATCATAAGGAGTATCATCAACATAAGTAGAATCATTTGGGTTAAATCTAACTATCCATGTTGATTTAGATGAAGTACCACTAATTTTACTACTCTTTTTTTCTTTACTATTTTTTTTACCAAAATTAAATATTTTAAAAAATTCCACTTTGTTCGTT